GGAGAAGGGTTGGGGTTTTTTTTTTTTTTTTTTTTTTTTGTTTGTTATTGAAATCTGCCACCTATAGATTTTATTTAGATGCAATTTATTAGATGAGCACAATTTAGCAAGAGCTATAAAGTTCAAGGACCTTCCTAATTAAATATAAATTGTATGGAATGTTACAGGCTTTTGCACTGTATAGTTGTTTGATTTTAAAGTGACCTTTGTGCAAAATTATAATCTACAAAGATATAAAGGAGAAAACATACCTGTTCCGCCACCCACGCCTCTGATCTTTACTGTCTAAGATCCTCTTTATCTGACACACTTCTCGGGAGTGGTGGATTTTTATACAACACTGAGGGCTGTGGTTCTTCTGCTAGCCCCATAGTCCCTGCAGAATACAATAATAAAATGGGTGATGGGACAGGTAAGTATAACATCTACAGGGTCACTTTAAGTAGGTTGTACAAATGGTTTGTTAGTGTGTGGTCAGCTTTAGAATATCATTGTCTACACTTTCCAATAAGGCGTAGACTAACTTCAACCCAAACCATTGCACTTTAAAGCTAAACTCCAGGTATAAAGTATTATGCAAGGGGTAGTACAGCTTCAGTCCTCCACCTGTGGTGACACTACAAATCCCATCATGCATCTGCCTCTGAAAGTCATGCTTGTGGCTCTGTTTCAATGCCGTATGGGATTTTTAGTTTCACCACAGTTGGAGAGCCAAAGTTTGGTCACCCCTGTATCATGCATACTTACATTGGTCCAATGTAGGTATGCTTATGTCAACCCGTGGGGGTCCTGTAAGGCACTGTAGTATCCTGAGCTACTAGTGTGCCTTACAATGATCTTCTGGGTCCTGTATGCGCTGTGCTAAGGGGCTTCCCCTCTATTCTGGAAACACAGGGAATTGCTGTCTTGGCAACGGCCATTTAGATAACACTTAATATTTTTAATCCATGAGTACAAGGTGCTCTCTGTTAGGACGGAGGGGGGTGATGTCACAATCCGCTCCTCATCTAATCCGAGAACTCCTTGTAGTCTGTGTTAAAAACTACAAGCCATTTTCTGAATGGTTGCTGTGCCAAGTGAGCAGCCCCCCCCCCCTTAATTTTGGAGCAGAGGGGAATCCACATACCACCATACATGACCTGGAAGATCGCGGTCAGCACTGTAGTAGCTCTGGCTAGTACAATGCTTTACATGATCTCCATGGGCCAATCGGGTATGACATATTTGCATTGGGTCAAGCTAGACCAAGTAAGTATGCACCTAATACTGGAGTTGGGTGTTGTACTTTCTGCATTGTACATGTACCCTTTAAATGTAATAATCACAAATCAAGCAGTGCAAGTGATTAATTGATCAATATACATACTGTACAGAATTACAAATCTGTTGACCGATGAAAGAAATATATCTACAGTGCTGCTTGACTGGTGTTTATTTTAAGAATCTACAAAATAAAGGACAAATGCCTACAGACCTCTCTAATGATCTCTATCTAACCCAGGCGTTGTATAATCAATTTCTTTTTTTTTTTTTTTCCATTTTTAGATAAGACTTTCAGAGTGCAGTTAACACTTCACATATTTGCTATGTGACGTCTTCGAAGAACTCTCGTACCATCTTGAAAAGTCCTTGGCATCTATCAGTTGAACATTGAAAAACCATGGGGAATCACCTTACGGAGATTGCACCGAATGCCTCCTTTCTTCCTACCTTTCACACTCTACATGTGGTTGTCATTGGGTTGGACTCTGCTGGAAAGACCTCCCTCTTATACAGACTAAAGTTCAAGGAGTTTGTGAAATGTGTTCCCACCAAGGGCTTTAACATGGAAAAAATAAAGGCCTCGGTTGTGAATTCGAAAGCAATCACTTTTCAGGTCTGGGATGTTGGTGGCCAGGAGAAACTTAGACCTTTATGGAAATCCTATACTAGAAGGACTGATGGCTTGGTGTTTGTGGTGGATTCTTCAGAAAAGGAGCGTATGGAGGAAGCCAAAGTGGAACTACACAAAATTACTAGGAGTTCTGAAAATCAAGGTGTGCCTGTTTTAATCCTCGCCAACAAGCAGGATGTGGCAGATGCAGCATCAGTAACGGAGGTGGAGAAGTTACTAGCTGTACATGAACTAGGCACGTCCACCTTGAGTCACATTCAGGGCTGTAGCGCTGTGGATGGCAGAGGTTTGCCCCAAGGACTTGAAAAACTCAACGAGATGATCCTAAAGAGGAAGAAGATGCTGAGACACAGCAAAAAGAAGCGGTGAGCTGCCAAAGCGTTAAGACTTTGATGTACTATTTGACTTCCCATCAGGGTATGCAACCAGACAAATGAGCAGTGGTGCTCGAGTGACTGGTTCTGATGGTAAAACAATCTGCTTACAGAACAGTTTTTTGGCTGCCTGACCCAGCACAACTTGCATGAAATACATCTAAACTGGAGTCAAAATATTTATTTACTGGTACTTTTCAGACCGGAGGATACATTTGGGAAGGATAAAGAACACAAGTGTGAATCTCAAGCCAAACCAATAATGCACAGTAGAAATATTTATATGGCCTGTTTTAACTGCCAAAGGGTTTATAATTCTGTTTACCTGGTCTTGTGATTCACACATGTTTGCCACACTATAATGCTATTGATGACCTTTGCAGCTTTGTTCACCCCCTCTACACCCACAGTATGCTCATTGTTCTGATATTTTGTCCACTGACCAGGCAAGTTATTCAAGTAACTGAACAGCATGAAGTATTTGGACTATATAAAGTGAGGCAGAGGTGTGTAAATCACTGGACTGTTTGAATAGTCTAAGGTCCCAATTCACTCTTGTGCAGTGCATGTGAAACTGCATGCAAAGTGCATGGTGAGATCTGTGCCATTCTAGTCAATGCCACCATTCTCACTTCTGCATTTTCTTTATGATAACTCTTCGGCACATATCTATAATGGCACAGATCTATATTTCGTGTGCAGTGGCACATGCATTTATCTGCAAATAATACCGAAATGCCATTGGGTGGCTTTTTGGCAGATGAATCCATTCGGGACTTTGCTCGGGCTGTTTTGACTAAAGTCCTGCCTCAATGGCTTTGTTATTTTATGCATATGTTTGTCATTCTCGTTCCTTGGATGATCTGTGCACAGGAATACTGATAACAGAGGGATATTTCACTTATTTAATGAAAAGAAGGGTCGTATTTAAGGTTTTATATACTTGATCACAGTTTTTTTTTATTTGTAATACTATTCCTTCACACAGGATGAACATTTGTTTTCTGTTCAAGCCTCTTATATATATGTTTGTATGAAGGCCACCTAATTATTTATATTCATAAATAAAAATTAGACTGCATTCTACTGTGTGGAATTTTATTTTGCAATTGTTTAGTTGGGGGGTGAAGTTTTGTTTTGCTGCTACTGTGGGTTTAAGGCAAATCCTGCATTTCCAAATTTGCTGTCCTAGGGAATACATGTGCAGATGTACATGAGAGACTATTTTTATTTTATTTTTTTATCACAATGCACTGCATGGCCTTTGGGCCAAGGCCAGCAGACTTGGGTGAAATAAGGGAACTATTGCATAAGCTAGCTACCTTGCTATAAAAGGGAGGGGGGTGCACAAAGCAAGCATAGCTTCAGTGTGTTGGAAGCTGCTGTATGGAAAGGATAGGGAGGGTTGAGAAATGGTACAAGTAGAGTGTAAGGTCAGTTCGTGAACTATACTTAAAGGAAAACTCCACTCTTGTTAAAAATTAGCATACAACATTTGCTACACAAGACATTTTAAAGTTGAAATTTCCTTTCCAATTCAATATAAATCTACTGTAGTAGATCTAAAAACTGTTCAGGAAACCTGGAGGTGTTCTGTACACAGGTGGTATAATAATGTTCTGCTTCTGCGATGGATGCACAGAAATGTGTACTTAAAGTCAAATTTTAGTTATCCCCTGCAATAGAAATTTTAATTTTTGGATACTCCCTGAGGAGGTAGTTCACTCATATCTGCCTGTCAGTTTTTGAGGTTTTTTTTTGGAGGATCTGATCGAAGCCCAACATAACTCCCCTGATCACCTGCTGATCAGCACAGACAGTTCTATGTGAAAGGGGCATAGGGGTTCACTACTTCTAAAGGGATACAGAAACTGCAGCTTTCCTCGTTGGAACGCTGAAAGTGCACCAGTTGGTTTAAGAACCAGACCTTCTCATTCAATAATCAGTCTGGAAAGGGTCATGGTGAAACTAAGCATTTTCTCCAGAACATAAAAAGGTTGGAGTCTGCAACAACGTTACCTCTAAAGTGTTTTTTTTCAGGGAGTTTTTTTTTTTTTGTTTTTTTTTTTTAGGGTTTCATTTATTTTGGGAGTATATTATTTTATGTTGATAGAACCTTTCTTTTAGGTTAAAGTGCTGCTTGCCAAGCATGCCACAGCATTGTTTAAAAGGAAACATAAATGCAAGAACAGTGTGAACCTAAGCTACCATCGTTCACCTTGCCACCAAATTTCCACAGATAAGGAAAAAAAGAGTTAGGCATACACTGATTAGGCCTATTATCCCCGATTTAAATTGTCTTGCGGCTAGCCAGTTTTGCCCTGCTGGTCCTCTGCAGTTTCTTTATGTAGTAAAACTCTAGCCTGTGCTCTTTGTCTCTAGTAACTTTGGGCCTAGTCTTGCTATTCAAGAGTTGCCATGCTGCTGGTCGATGTTACACTGTCATCTGCGCTCTCCTTATTCTTGTAGTAAAAAACACCTGCCCATTACCACTTGATGAAAAAGCAAGTCTCAATGCTAAAACTACCCAAAAAAAAAAATCAAATCCAAGCCAAATATCTGCTGACCGTGTACACCTTCGATAAGACTCTCTATGAAAATCATAGTGTTATGTAGCCCCCATTTACAGCTTTAGGACACCCCAAGCAGGTTGTTTAAAAGATTTGTGTACATTTAATGATACCCTTAAATCTGCATGGAAATATTTTCCCTGCTGTAAGCCTAACATTTTTTTTAATTTTGTTTGCATTGATAACCACCCCCCACGGCAGTACCCAAAATCCCATGTCGTTTTTTCTCTTTCCCCTAAAAATATCCAGAACTTGCTAACAAGATTCACCTCCAATAGACTTCAATAACATTTGCCACAAAGTTCGGGTTGGCCGAATTTCAAACCGGATTTGGCGAACAAAACCTGAGCAGATTCATACATCCCTATTATTTAAAGAGGGTGCAGGAAGATCGATATAAGTTATAAAGGAATATTCCAGGCAAAACTCAAATGTGCCCCCTGCATTTGACCTTTTTATATGAACTCGGACTGGTACACGTGTGATCAGCAAACTAAGCTCCAGGCAAATATAGCAAAATGCCAACTAGTTATGTAATTTATTTTTACAATGTTTCTAGTGTAATTGCCTGAATTTGACTTGGTATCTGTCCCTGGGAGAGGGAGTAGTCAGGCTGGAGCAGGAAAGAACCCCGTTAAAGATTTTTCTTCTTTCTGGCGAAGTTGTCATTGGGACAGTAAGTGAGGGGACTGCCCTCTAAAGGAATGCTGGTTAACGGTATATTCAGTCAGGGGTTCTAATCCCATACCACTCTACACAAAATTAAAAGGTGTTGGCTGGACATATAAAAGTATAACTAAAGGCAAAGCTTTTTTTTTTTTAAAGATTTGGATAGTGTTGTGAGGGGGTAGAACCACTAAGGTTTTATTGCTAGGGAAGTTAAATCTCTCACTGTCCTGATTACCAATGTTACCAGGAATGAACCTGAGGGTAAATGCAACGTTCTGAGTTGCCACCAGAACAGGAAGAGAGAAAATCTTCCAATGGGGACATTTGCTCCTGTGACAAGACGGGATATCCCTTTTTTTTGAGTCTGCAGGAGAGTAAACGATGGGCAATCAAGTTTTAGTGGCTCTGTGCATACTTTTATCAGAACTTAAATTTTTTTTTAAGTGGGGGTAAATATATTGCATTTTTTCAGTTAACAGAAAAACCTCCTTTTGACATGTTAAGCACATAAGCAGCTGTTCTTTTTAAAACTAGAAGAAAAAATGAAATCTAAACTTGATATTATATATAATGGTTTTTTTTTTTATAAATCTGAATCGCTAAGGAACCCAGCCTTGTGTCTTTTCCGATGACCTTACAGTGATCCGTTTTCTGAATTTTCTTCAGGTGCCATTTTTTATATTTATGCAATTTGTTCACATTTAATTACCGGTTGTGACATTTTAGGAGAAGTGCAGGGAGAGTAAAACATACTCTATCCGATGCTTATAGCCGGTGTGGGGCACTGCAGCTGCCACACACCAGCTCTAAGAGCAGGAGCTTGCTGATCACATGACCGCTCATCATCCAGCTATTGGTCTCTGCTTCCAGGTCTAGGGAAAAAACACAAACAAGGGGCGCCTTTCCTGGTGCAGACAAATTTATTAAAGAACAAAAGCAAAAGTAGATGTGAAACATACTCACAAAGGTCGGCATGATTACAGTATAAAAAGTAAGTACATGGACCCAAGAAGAAGCCTGTGATTACTGCACAACCGTGTCTGTGTGTAAGCAAAGAAGACTGTGTGATGATGCGTTTCCGGGTCCACGCCCCCTTCATCAGATGCCTGATCTGCTTCCAGGTCTGGCTGAAGCTACAGGCTGAGGAAGGGAGCTAGTTCGGCTGGCTCTCAGCTATGCATAAAGTGGCAGAGCCAGCTGTTAGCAAGGCAGCCAAGGTGGATCCCAACAATATTTTTCGCATTCTCCTCGAATGCGGCTCGTCTTTGTGCTGTCAGCTGATAGCGGACATTAACCTACTACCTCCTGACTTTGGGTCACAGGTATGTGTGTATATATAATGTATGTGTACTTCTGTGACCCCCCAAAAAGTAAAGGCTTGCCTTCTCTTTTAATTTAGATGCCCCTCTTAGTACCTTTTGCAGATCCACAGGAATTTACCCCAGGAACATTTCACTTGATAAAGGACATAAGTTTATAAAACTATAACTTCTAATAAAGTAATGGCCAGGGGAATATAAAAAAAGGTTCTAAATAGTGACTGGTTTTATTGCTGCCCATGGGCTCAAACAGAAGTGAAAGCAATGTGGCAGTAATGCAGGGAAAACAGTAGATGGAAACCATAAGGTTGGTTTACTAAAGGCAATAGGCTGTTCACTTTGCAAGAGAATTTCCTCTTAGCTTAGTGAATGCAGTGAAAATTCACTTTGCAAAGAAAATAAAAAAATAAAAAAATGTTTTGCTTGCACATGATTGGATGATGAAAGTCAGC